AAAAGGATAGAGAATGTGTATGTCTAGAACATAAAGGTCCTTTATAACTATTTATTACATGAATACATGAAGTTCATTTTTAATTTGTGAAGACATTTTATGACATGGTTTGTTGTAGTCATGATTTTACTTAAAGTTGAATCCTTTTCTGGGAGCAAAGTCCCAATAATTACCTTGGAAAAATTATCCACTTTAAAGTTATACCATTTACAACACAATATCTAGAAATTCATTGAAGTGAAAAGTGAGCACTGGTAATGTATCTGTGTAGGTGGATCATGAATGAACATACTTATGTACACATATAGATCTGAATATCTCATTAATATTAAGGACCTAACTGGGCATTTCTCATAATTCATATTAGATTCTGTAAACATCAAGAGTGTATGAAAGTAGGCTAATATATATATATATATATATATATATATAATATATTATTATATATAATGTATATTATTATATATTATATATTGTATTATATATATATATATATATATAATATACACACATAGCTATATGTCAATTCCCATAGATATTACATTTTTTATAATTTAGATAATTTTTTTTTATGCTGGGAATCCAAATCGGAGCCTAGGGACCCAATTCAGGGTGCATGCTAGGCAAGTACTCTGCCACTGAGCTACATCCCCAGCTATGTATAATTTTATGGAATTAAGTCAGCTATTATTTCTAGCAGTACAAATTTTCACCATCATACTTTTTTTGTGTGTGTGCTGGGGATTGAACCCAGGGCCTTGTGCATGCAAGGCAAGCACTCTACCAACTGAGCTATACCCCAGCACCCATACTTTAAAAATATTTATTTTTTGGTTATAGGTGGATACAATATCTTTATTTTTTAATTTATATGGTGCTGAGGATCGAACCCAGTGCATCATGCATGCTAGGCAAGTGCTCTACCTATGAGCCACAACCCCAGCCCCCCATACTTTTTTTTCTAAATGTTTATTTTTTTAGTTGTAGTTGGACACAATACTTTTATTTTATTTATTTTTATGTGGTGCTGAGGATCAAACCCAGGGCCTCGCACATGCCAGGTGAGTGCTCTACTGCTGAACCACAACCTCAGCCACCCCATACTTTATTTTAAATATTTATTTTTTTAGTTGTAGTTGGACTCAGTACCTTTATTTATTAATTTTTATGTGGTGCTGAGAATCAAACCCAGGGCCTCACATGTGCTAGGTGAGCACTCTACTGCTAAGCCACAACCCCAGCCATATATTTTTTTAAGAGACAGCGTCTCGCTAAGTTGCTTAAGGCCTCTCTAAACTGCTGAGGCTGTCTTTGCACTTATGATCCTCCTGCTTCAGCCTCCTGAGCAGCTAGGATTACAGGGGTGTACCACTATACCAGGCAGGGAAATGATCTTTGATGTAAGCAATGAGGAACAAGTGAAGATTCCAAATGATACAGGGACTACAATTAGACTCAACTTTAAATTTTCTTTTTTTCCCCCCTCTTTTCTTCTCTCTCTCTCTCTCTTTTTTTTTTTTTTTGGTTTGTTTGTTCGCTAGGGATGGAACCCAGGGCCTTGCACCTGCTAAGCAAGTGCTCTACCTCTGAACTACACCCCAGCCTAGAGCTGAGCCACAACTCCAGCCCCCTCAATACTTTTTAATAAGTCTAAAATTAGTAGGTTTCAGAAACAGTAACCTCAAGAAACTAGGAGGACCATCCAGGTGTTATTAATTTCTGGGTCCATAAAATTAACTTTCATTTACTAGTGGAATATATACTTATTACATATAGAGTTAGCGTATATAGACAGTCTTCAACTTATAATGTTTCAGCTTTAATTTTTTTTTTAACTTTATAACAGGGCAAAAACAATACATATACAGTAGGAAACCTAATTTTGAATTTCATCTTTTCCCAGGCTAGTGATATGCAGTATGATAGTTTGTAGCTATGATGGGCAATGCTGGTGAGCCAGGTGCAGCTTCCAGTCAGCCATGTGATAAGGGGTATAAGGAAATAATCCATACTCCACCAAGTTCTGTGTTAGTAAGTTATGAAGTTTGTTAGGTGTGTCAAATGCATTTTCAATTTAATGATACTTTATGATAAATAATGATGAACAGGTTTTAGGGGTCATAATCCCATTGTAAATCAAGGAGCACTGTATATAATCTAAAGCATATTATCTACTTTCACTCATCTCAAACTGTAACAATATCTGTTTATAATGTATTTGTTATTAAATGACAGGCTCCCAGGGTAATATGAGCATTGCCAGGACAGGAAGGATGTTTGGTAAGAAACCTGACAGCTTGGGGTCTGGGCTTTTTTGCATGTTTATAAACTCAATATTGTAAATGTCACAGAGTAGATTGATGCTGGGAATGTGGATTCACACTAAGGACTTTCACAAGAGATTGATATGTAAATCAGAAGGCCATTTTTTTTATAAAGACAAACATATTTGTTTACAGAGATTTGAAAATAGCAAAGTTTTTCCCTGTGGGAGGGTCTTCATGGGAAGCCAAATTACAATCTGAAGATTATTGGTACCATAGAATCAAGACAAGGTAAGTTAGTTGCATAATATCATTTGCTATGATTGCTCTAATTGTCCATCTCCCCAATATTTTTTTGCATTTCAATATGAATTTTATTTATTTATTTTTATTGGTTATTCAAAACATTACAAAACTCTTGACATATCATATTTCATACATTCGATTCAAGTGGGTTATCAACTCCCATTTTTACCCCAAATACAGATTGCAGAATCACATCAATTACACATCCACATTTTTACATAATGCCATATTAGTAACTGTTGTATTCTGCTACCTTTCCTATCCTCTACTATCCCCCCTCCCCTCCCCTCCCATCTTCTCTCTCTACCCCATCTGTTGTAATTTAATTCTTTCTCTTGGTTTTTTTTTCCCTTCCCCCTCAAATTCGTCTCCCCAATATTAACTAGAGTATTTGTTCCCTTGTGTATTTGTTTTATTGATCAGGGCATACCTATCCCATTTCTTGAGTAGTACCTAACTCAGATTTTTAGACAATTTCTTCTATGCTTTCTTTGATGACCAAAACCCTCAAACTGGCATAATTTTGTTTTCAACTAGCTTTTCTTTTAAAAATTACATCATCAAAATGTGTTTTTTTAGGGCTGGAGTTGGCAGAGTGTTTGCTTTGCATGCACAAGGCCATGGGTTCAATCTCCTGCACCACACACACAAAAATGTGTTTTTTAGCTGTGTCAGATTACATCAGTAGTGCTCATCTAGAGGCTTTTTTTTTTTTTTGTACCAGGAATTGAACCCATGGACGCTTAACCACTAAGCCATATCCCCAGCTCTTTTTTATGTTTTATTTTGAGAGAGGATCTTGGTAAATTGCTCAGGGCCTTGCTAAATTGCTGAGGCTGGCTTTGAATTTGAGATCCTCCTGTTTCAGCCTCCAGACCGCTGGGATTACAGGTGTGCACTCCCATGCCCAGCTGAGGCTGTCTATCTTTCAAGTAAATTATCTCTCTTGGTTTATAGTTCAACTTTTAAGTATGGGGAGGTAGAGGACTGGAACCTGGTGACTTTTATTTAATAATTCTATGGGGGGTTGGGCGTGGTGGCGCATGCCTGTAATCCTAGCGGCTCGGGAGGCTGAGGATTGCGAGTTCAAAGCCAGCCTCAGCAGAAGTGAGGTGCTAAGCAACTCGGTGAGACCCTGTTTCTAAATAAAATACACAGTAGGGCTGGGATGTGGCTCAGTGGCTGAGTGCCCCTGGGTTCAATCTCCGGTACCCCCCCCAAAAAAAAAATTCAATGGGGTACCTTACTATGGTTAGTGGAGTTACTAGATAACAAACAGGATGTTCAATTAGATTAAGACAATTGAGTACTATATATTTTCAGTGTAAGTATGTTCAAATATCAGATATACTTACACTAGAAAAGTATTCATAGTTTATCTGAAATTCAAATTTAGAAGTCTTGCATTTTTATTTGCTAAACTTGAAAACCATACCAGTATATTAACATGAAGCTATGAGACTTGCTTGAGTTCATGCTGGTTGGTATGCAGTAATCCATTTGGGTGTCTCAGGGAACAAAACCAGTTCCACTTAAAAAAAAAAAATGAGGTTAAACGTAGGTACCACCAAAGCGTGGAAGAATCTTGACCCTTTGAGGAACCCATAACTGACGCAACTGTCATAAAGGCTGTTTTGGTGGATTCCCCGCCTCCTCCATTCTTCCTTCCTGCAACAAGAAAGAACTGTTCTAACACTTCTTCCTTCTCAAGTCCCGCCCTTTCAGCTGTCCGCAATGGAGAGGAATCGGTTACCCAAAAGGAGCCTGCGAGAGCGCCGACGTGGAGTTCAGAGGAGCGGAAGTCGTCAGATGTCACTGAGAGCCGTAAAGCGCGTCTGGCTTGTTCACCTTCCGGATAACGACAACAGCTCCGACTCTCAGTGCCGGCCTTCCTCGTGTAAGGGGATCTGCCGGACCCTTGCTAATTTAATTTCTTTCCCTTTCCGGGCCCTTCCCTATCGTCGCCCCCTTCACCTTGGATCATGTTCAAGAAGTAAGGACATGTGTGGCCTCCATAGGCTGCTCACAAAGGCGGTGGGAGTGGGGTGGGGAAGAGGGCGAGAGCAACAATCCTCTTTCTCTCTCCCCCGCCCCTGCCATCCTGACTCCCTAAGGTTTTCTATAGTATATGCTCTCACTCGCAACTTGCAACACTTCTTTAAATTTTCAATCCCTAATCCTCAATCTGGCTTCGGTCCCTCCACTTCCATTTTCTTTCTCCTTAACTCTGTTCTTTTGCCCCCCCCCCCCCAATCTATCGCCATTCCTAGGGTTCTACCAATCACATTCTTGCACTGTGATTTAGGGGCATATCCTCTTTAGGTGAGAGGGGAGCCCTGCACTCGCTGCCATATGTTTATTAGTTATGAACTGAATAAAGGAAGGCTTGACTTCCTGGGTCATGGGAGTGAAGGAGTCTGGGTGACAGGAAGCAAGCGGCCTGTCATGCCTATTGCCTAGCTGCCAGATTAACCTTGTCTTGGAAATAACGTGATTGCCCCGTAGGCTATTCAGTGTAAGGAAGACAGAATTCCTTGGGAACCTACCTAGTGGGTTTACCTTCCACATTTGGTAGAGGCAAAAAGCAAAGGGGAACATGGGCAAAGGAAGGTGGGTTTTGTGCATGAAAATTTGAGAAGAATAGATAGGGATCTTAAAAATTATATCATCTTCACCACTTTAAAAAAAATGTTAGCAGATTACACTGCCTAAGAACAGCTGATTTTTCTGTGTTATGCTTGGTTTTGGCCTTTTGCAACTTAATGCTTAAGGCTTTTTTTTTTTTCTTAAAAGGTTTTATTATTGATGGGAATCTGTTTCTTCCTTTGAGTAAGATTAGGTAGCTGATTACAGGTTATAGTGCAAACTGTGTTTTATCCATAACCCCTTCCCCCAGCTAATTGCTGTATATGTGACAATTTATTTTATTATTAAAACATGGTTTTGTATTGGGCAAAAAAGGGAAATGGTGTTTCAAAAAACAGTTTATTTCATAGTTATTCTAAGGATTGAGTACTATCTTGGAAATAGATGGCCAATAGATTACCCAATTAGAACAGTAATTTTTAGATATTCTAATAATTTTGCTTAGCAATGCCTTTTTTTTCTTGCAAAAATCACTTGGCAGGTTTGATGAAAAAGAAAATGTTTCCAACTGCATCCAGCTGAAAACATCTGTTATTAAGGGTATTAAGAACCAGTTGATAGAGCAATTTCCAGGTATTGAACCATGGCTTAATCAAATCATGCCTAAGAAAGATCCTGTCAAAATAGTCCGATGGTAAGTCTTTGCTTTTCTCTGTGTAAAGCTTAGAGTAGCTGAATGTTTAATGTTTATGTTGCTCTTATTCTAAATGAAATTATTTTCACATTAACTATTGATAGATTAATGATAATAATAGACACAGTGACAATAAAACTTACCATGTATTTGTATTTTCAGATATTTCCTTTATGCATGAAAAGTGTGGTTTTATGTATTGATTGTTTTATTAAAGGATTAAATTGTAAATTTAGAGTTGAACTTATTCCTGTTTTTTTTTAGAGATGTTTTATTATCTAACAATGGAATTCAAATAATAAAATGTAAAATAAAATTGGTTGTAGCAGGACATATTTTCTCTACTGGACTGATACTATAGGAAAAACAGTGTGAACAATGTTTTTTGGCCAGGATCTTTATTTAAAAGTTTACTGTATCTCTGTATATGCTTATTTCATGTTGTAAATTTTAAAGGATATTTTATTTACATTCATTTTCAAAAGAATATCTAACTTGGTACTTTCTGACATTTGTCTTATAGCCATGAACATATAGAAATCCTTACAGTAAATGGAGAATTACTATTTTTTAGACAAAGAGAAGGACCTTTTTATCCAACCCTAAGGTTACTTCACAAATGTAAGTCTCATTAGAAATGCACATTTGAAAGGTGTTGAAAGTGACTGCTGATAGTTAATTTGTTATTTATTAATACTAAATAATAAGGAATATAAAGCTAAAGTGAATGCCCATCTTGTGGTAAATCAGAAAAATGCAGAATTTCCAATTTTGCATTCCAGAAAGCCCAAGAAAAAAGCATTCATTCATTCAACAAATATTTATTGAACTTACTATATGCCAGGCACTAAGTTAGGATCTGAGAATACTATTTGAAGCAAAGACAAACATGGTCCTGTCCTTATGAAGCTAGCTGAGAGAATTTATAGCAATTAGATAATCACACAAATATGTAGCCATAAACTGTGATAATGGTCAGTAGAGATAATTCTGTATATGGGAGAGCACTGGCTAAATGTGGGAGTCCCAGTTATTACTAGTTGAGTGTCATGATCAGATGTTTTGAAACCAAATACTGTTTATTTCATACCCACATTTATAGTTATTTGAGTATATTACAGAAGAAAATCACGGAAGATATAATGCCAGTGTACACAAGAGGTTTCCAAAATGGGAAGCAAAATTTCTGCTTTTTAGTCTGGTATTCTGGCCAAGAGGCAGAAGGAAAGGGAATGAATGGCAGGCTCTGTTGTTGTTGTTGACTGAATGAATTTGGCTTTTTGGTAAGAGGAGATAAATTTGAAATTATTTAGTGGTACAGAGGTCAGGAGAAGTAAATCTGTTAGGCAAGTCTTTATAAGGGAATAGTTACACCAGGTGTGGTGGTGCATGCCTATGATCCCAGCAGGAGGCTGAGGCAGGAGGATCCTGAATTCAAAGTTCAAAATAGCCTCAGCAATTTAGTGAGACCCTGTCTCTAAATAAAATACAAAAAAGAGCTGGGGATGTGGCTCAGTGGTTAACTACCCCTGGATTCACTCTTTGGTACCAAAAACAAAAATAACAACAAAAAACCAAGGGAATAGTTAGAATTATTTGATTAAGTATTGGTTTTGTCAGGTTACAAAAAAACTGATGGAGTGAAATTGAGTCTTGATGCAACAAGAAAAAAAAATTTGAGAGAGAGAGAGAGAGAGAATTTTTTAATATTTATTTTTTAGTTTTTGGTGGATACAACATTTTATGTGGTGCTGAGGATCGAACCCAGCGCCCCACACATGCCAGGCAAGCGTGCTACTGCTTGAGCCACATCCCCAGCCCCAAGAAAATTTTTTAAATGAGAATATTTTGGTGACATTAAGACATTTTGATATGCCTATTAAACTATGAGCAGAGACAAAATCAAATGTATTTCTGTTTTGAAAAACCAACAAAAATTCAAGCCCCTCCCCCCAAAATGTAAAAGACTTTCCTGAACTATTGGGGAAATTTGAATATGGTTTGGCTCTAAAATGATAAAGTAGAATTATTAAATTTTAGGTATGACAATAGAATTGTGGTGGTATAGAATGGCTTTATTCTTAGGTTTGCTTATTTATGATGAGGCATTATGTCTGAACTAATTTTCAAATGATAGAAGAAAATATGTGTGTATAAATAGAGATAAAGTGAATAAAGCACAGTGTTAATGAATAATTATTAGATGTAGGTGGATAGTGTCCAGCTATTCTTTCAATTTTTCTATAAATTGAGCATTATCATAAATTTGGGGAAAAGGATGTTCCTATTTAATAATATTGTGTGGGATCAGCCTTTTAGAACATCTTACTTATTTTTATGCAAAAAGTAGAATAAGGACTGGGACCATGGAGCATACCTATAATCCCAGTGGCTTGGGAGGCTGAGACAGGAGGATTGAGAGTTCAATGCCAACCTCAGAAATTTAGTGAGGTGCTAAGCAGCTCAGAGAGGTCCTATCTCTAAGTAAAATACAAAATAGGGCTGGGGATGTTGCTCAGTTGCTGAGTACCCCTGAGTTCAATCCCTGATACCCCCCCCCCAAAAAAAAAAAAAGAAAAAGTAGAATAAGCGGCTGGGGTTGTGGCTTAGTGGTAGAGCACTTGCCTAGCATGTATGAGGCATTGGGTTCGAGCCTTAGCACCACATGAAAATAAATAAATAAAGATATTGTATCCATCTACAACTAAAAATATTTTGTAAAAAATAGAATAATATGGTGGTTTAAAACATGAACATGGATTCTATTCCCGGTACATATCATTTGGCAAGTCACTTACCCTCTTCAAGCTTTGTTTTCTTATCTTTAAAAATGGACACTAAAGTGGGCTGGGGATATAGCTTAGTTGGTAGAATGCTTGCCTCACATGCACAAGGCCCTGGGTTCAATCCCCAGCCCCACACACATAGACACAAAACGGACACTATAATTATGTGTCTCCCGGGCTGGGATTGTGGCTCAAGAGTACTTGCCTAGCACGTGTGAGGCACTGGGTTCCATCCTCAGCACCACATAAAAATAAAATAAAGATATTGTATCCACCTAAGACTGACTGACTGACTGACTAAATAAATAAATAAATAAATAAATAAATATTTTTTGAAAAATTGTGTATCTCCTGTGGGTTGTGAGGATTAAATGAAACAGTGCATATAATATACCTAACATAATGCCTGGAAAGCAGCAGGCATTCATTATATGACAACTATTACAGTGAAGTAGTAATTGTTCAATAAGTGTTTACTACTACTTATCATGATTATCATCATCATCATCAAGGGACTGTTATTAATGAGGTTGAAGATCTAGGAAACAAATTATGGTTTGTGAGTAGTGAATACATTCAGTCAGGTTCCCTTGTTTTTGTACTTTAGTAATAATTGGATGTAAGTAATCCAATACACTAACAATAGTTATTTCAATTACTTTGGTGCTAGTTTAAATTAATCTGATCTTTTTTGTTTTTGTTTTTGGTACTGAGGATTGAACCCAGGGGTGCTTAACTACTGAGCCACATCCCCAGCCCTTTTTATTTTTTTTATTTAGACACATTGTCTCTTTAAGTTGCTTTAAGGCCTCACTAAGTTGCTGAGGCTAGCTTTGAACTTGCTATCCTCTTGCCTCAGCTTCTCCAGTTGCTGGGATTACAGGCATGTGCCACCACATTTGGCTAATCTGTGATCTTAATAAGAAAAAGACTTAATCTGTTCTTCCACTAGTGAGAAATCTAATGGTAAGACATTAAAATTAAGAAATTTTACCTATTATTGTCATTTCTAGAGAGTGCTGAAAAGCTTAAAAAGTTTTTCTCCCATTGTTTGAAACCCTCTAGGGATCCTTTAACTACTTGGTTATGAGTTATTAGTAGACATCACACACATGCATTTTTTTAAGATTACAAGAGGATATGTGCACATTTCTATGACCTAGAGTTAACTATTGTTAGCATATTGGATTACTTACATCCAATTATTACTTACATCCAATTGTTTTCTGTAATATGTGTAAATGCTTATTTTGGTGCTAGGGATTGAACCTGAGGCCTTGTGCATACTAAGTATGCACTCTACCACTGTACTATACCCCCAGCCTGTTTGTCCTCTTAAGATTGGGCTCTTTTTAAATGTAGTTTCCCCTATTACTAACATCTTACATTGGTACTATACAGTTACAATTTCTGAACGGATACTGATGCATTATTATTAATGAAAGTCTATAGTTTAAATTCAGGTTTGCTCTTCCTTTTGTTCAGTTCTGTGGTTTTGCCAGATATATAGTGTCCAGTATCCAGTGTTACAGCATCATATAGTAAAACATTCATGGTATTCTACCTATTCATCCTTCCTCCTTCTCCTCTACCCTGACCCCTAGTAACCTCTGATATTTTTCAGTTTTTTATTTTGCTTTCTTCATTCATCATGAACATTTCCTAGGGCTTTAAGTGTTCTCTAAAAACAATGTTTTATTATATATGTGCATGACTTTTTCATAGACATACCTTAAGTCATTTATCTTTACCTTATTGTTAGATATTTAGGTTGATCTCAGTTTATTTCAATTAGAAATGTTAGTGCTGCAGTATCTTTCTACCTAATATATTGTAAATCTCTCATTTTTCCTTAGGGTAGAGTCAAGGGTCTCATTGAATGTTTTTAAGTAGTCCTTAAGAAAGGTTACACCCATTTACAAGTCTTCTACCAGTTTATGGTAATTCTAGTGTTCCTACCCTCTTGTTAGCACCAGGGATTACTTTTCTTAAAAAAATACCAGTCTGATCAGTAAAGGATAGTGATTTAGTTTTATTTTTCATTTGTCAGAGTAATATAGTTTTTGAAATATTTGTGCATGCCCTTTGCCTTTTACTTTTGAGTCTTCAGTCTTATTAATTTATATAATTTATTTCTTCTCTTCTAGATCCTTTTATTCTGCCACACCAGCAGGTTGATAAAGGAGCCATCAAATTTGTACTCAGTGGAGCAAATATCATGTGTCCAGGCTTAACTTCTCCTGGAGCTAAGCTTTATCCTGCTGCAGTAGATACCATTGTTGTATCCTTCCCAGGCTCTAACTGCTAAAAAATGTATTCATTGTGTTCTTGTCATTAATGAATGATCTGTCATCCAAGAGAACACATTATATGTACTTTTTTAGAGGATACTTTCCTGTTGTCTCATGCCTTTCTGATTATAGTTGAAGTAATGAGAGTAACTTTTTATTTCTTGATTCTAAATTGTTTCATTTGAGGTAGTTTCATAGAAATTAAATGGAATCAAGTTATAAATTATAAGCCACAGCTGCTGGGTAGCAGTGCATTCTGTAATCTCAGCTACTTGGGAGGCTTAGGTTCGAGGATCACAAGGTCAGCCTTGGCAACTTAGGGAGACCCTGTCCCCAAAAAAATGTGTCTGGGGGGAAGATGGGTGTATGTTTCTCAGTGATAGAGTGCCCCTGAGTTCATTCCCCAGTGCAGAGAAAAAAAAAAATCCCAACTGCATTGCAACCCAGCCCAATTAGGGCTTATTGTTACTAGATTCAGGATACAATCTAACACAATCTAACTTTTGATTACTAATCAGAAGAATACAGGTGATATGAGTGGATTAGTATTTTGGACATTAACTTACCTCTCTTATTGGGGATTGAAACCAGGGGCACTTTATCGCCAAGCTATGTCCCTAGCCTTTATTTATTTATTTATTTATTTATTTTTTAGTTTTTGGCAGACACAACATCTTTGTTTGTATGTGGTGCTGAGGATTGAACCTGGGCCGCACGCATGCCAGGCGAGCACGCTACCGCTTGAGCCACATCCCCAGTCCCCTGTCCCTAGCCTTTAATTTTTGTTTTTTTCTTTAAGACAGGGTTTTACCAAGTTGCACAGGTTGTCCTCAAATTAATTTGTGATCCTACTGCTTCAGCTTCCTAAGAAGCTGTGATTAAAGGTATGCACCACTACACCTAGCTCCCAAGTAGATATAAGGATCTGTTCAACTCCTGATGTAGTTGAATAATTCTGCATTATTTGTATTTCTTTATGTAGTGCTATTTCAACTATATTTCTGGATTAAATAGATTTTTGTCAACGAGTCTGTACCAGGAAGTCATCTCCTTTGCCGTAAGCAAAGTGGCCATTTGCCTCAGGTTGAGAAATAAGGAAATAAAAAAAAAAAAGAAATAAGGAAATCATTGGTGGAAATAAAGACATTATTATACAGTGGGAATGCCATTGGAGTGAGTTGAGTATGCCCTATGCTCAAAAGGAGGCTATCCTCTGTTTTGGCAGTTTTAGCTAAAGGTTAGAATAAGTTGTGTGTTTTCTTTTAGGAACAACTTGTGTTTTATAGATACTAGTCACATAATAGGTGCTCAAATATTTGTGGAACATTGAATGAATTGAAAACTAATGGAGAAAAGTATTCTTTTTCATATGTATGACTTCTCTAAGTGTTGGTAGGTTTTTAGTTTTGGAGTTTCCTTTAAGTGGAACGTTTTCCTAGTACTAGACATTGTTTTTGGTGGGTGGGTGGGGGTGCTGGGGATTGAACCCAGGCCCTTGTACATGCAGGGCAAGCACTCTACCATCTGAGCTATATATCCTCAGCCCCTTAATACTGGATTTCACTTTGTGTTTTTGTTTTGTTTTTTTTTGAGACAAGGTCTCACTGTGTTGCCCAGGCTGATCTTGGACTCCATGGGCTCTAGTGATGCTCTTGTGTAGCTGGGATTACAGGTATGTGCCATTATACCCAGCTACAATTGTTACTTCAGTGTGTACTTTACATAAAGCCACCATTCAATGGTCAAAATAGTGGAATGCAAGTTATCCTACTGTTTGGTAATAATGCACCAATAAAAAGGAAAAAACAAGACAGACACTAAAATAATTGATATTTATTTATTTATGTGCAAGAAATTTTATCTTTTTTTGTATGACATGGTTTTGTTAACATGGTATGTAGTATTAATATTTGACTTAACCAAAATGATAATTAAGAACATTTATTTAACATTTCTTGAATGTACTCATATCCCCTGCCCTCAAGGAGTCAGTAGGACACAAGATGGGTTCAAAGTGGCTAACTAGTAACACAAGTAATACTTGACACATTTCCCTCCCTGCAAGGCATTTTGAGAGAGAGTTTTCTTAGCTATGTGTTTTCAGGCAATCATGGCAGAAGGAAAACAGCATGCTCTATGTGTTGGAGTCATGAAGATGTCTGCAGAAGATATGTAAGTCTCACTTTAGGCCCTTAGCTTTTGAGATATGGAGCCTAGGAAGTATCAGAATTACAGATGAAATTTGCTCATTCATACCACATCTTACAAATTACTAAGCACAGAAGCCTAATTTTTGATTTTTCCTAACATTTAGAAAGCCATTGAAGCCTCTTTTGTCTTCAGTATTGCATTCTTCTTCTTCTTCTTTTTTTTTTTTTTTTTTTTTTGTGGTGCTGGGGATCGGACCCAGGGCCTTGTGTATGTGAGGCAATCACTTTATCAGCTGAGCTATATCCCCCAACCCCATTCTTTTTTTTTTTTTTTTTTTTTTTTTGGTGTGTGTGTGGTTCCGGGGATTGAACCCAGGGCCTTATGCATGCTAGGCAAGCACTCTACCAACTGAGCTATATCCCCAGCCCCCACATTCTTTCTTAAGTATTATGAAAAGAACCCATGTGCCTACACAGGTGTTTTATATGTATATATGGTACTTTAGGAATTTTTATTTAATATCTTATAAATTGAGAAGGGAAAAATATGTTTTGCTGCTAGCTTTTAAAAGTGACACAGTTCAGCACTATGTAATATTTGTCTTACATTCTAATTTGGTAGTATATGAAATGTAGAATATTAGAACTTTTAAATGTATATTACCAAAATATAGGCAATATATTTTAAAAGTTTGGAACCCATTTGATGAGCAAAATTAGTCCTATTAATTTTGTTTTAAGGTTTAATACTTTGATATTCTCCTGGTCTTGTGATATGATTACTGAGTTTGTATAGGCTCACTAGTTAGATTGCTTAAATCACTTTAGAACATGAACTGCAGCAGAGTAATGAGCCTAAAATAGATAATAAGTGTAACAAAAATAAATTCCCTACATGTGTCTCAATAACTAGAAAATAACATTGCACTTTGTTTGCCATGAATAAAACTATAAAAATGCATAAAAATGTGTTTATGTGTTTTTCCCCTTCTACAGTGAGAAAGTCAACAAAGGAATTGGCATTGAAAATATCCATTATTTAAATGATGGGCTGTGGCATATGAAGACATATAAGTGATCCTCAGAAGGAATGCACTTGGGCTAAATATGGATATTGTGCTGTATCTGTGTTTGTGTCTGTGTGTGACAGCATGAAGACAATGCCTCTGTGGTTATGCTGAATAAATTCTACAGATGCTAAAATTCTGTTAGCTTCAGAAATTATTTTAATTTTTTTTAAACTTAAAATTGGGTAGCACACTTGGACATTAAAGGGTATCTGGTAAGTAACTAAACAGACGACTTAATGTCCTATAAGGTTAATGATAGAAGATGAATTGGTAACTGGACTTGCCAGTTTATGGTGGACCCCCAAATAATTTGTCAAGTTAATGGGGCTTGAAGCCAGATTGGGAATTTTATACTGTTATCCCAGGTCACCCAGCAGTACTTTTGTGTCTGTGTGTGTATGCCTGTGTGTGTTTGTTTGTTGTTGTTTAAATTTTCATTATGGAAAGTTCCTAACATATTCAAAAGCATGGGAAATAGTATAATGGGCCTTTTTTTATCCATCACCCAGCTTCAATTTTTGGCCATCAATAACTACATTAATATGTATCTTTAAAAGATAAAAATAACCATAATAGCATGATCCCACCTAAAAAATTTAACTATTTCCTAATATGATCATTTAAACTGTTCAAATTCCCTCAGTTGTCTCTCTTTAAATTTTATTAGTTGTTGGTTTGCTTGAAGTAGGTACCAGATAAGATCTGTATGTTGCATATGGTTGTTGTAAATTCCTCTCCTTTTATCCTTTAAATTACATCTCAACTTTTTGTTTGGTTGGTTGGTTTATAGTGCTAGGGATCAAACCCAAAGGCCTTGCACATGCTAGGCAAGTGCTCTATGGCTGAGCTCTGTTCCCAGCCCTATCCACTGAAGTAATTATTTAAGAAGTATAGTTCATTGGTAAAGTTTTCCCATACATTCTGGATTTTGTAGCACTATGAAGTCATATAACATAAGTTTTATGTCCCCTATGTATCCTATGTACACATTGAAGGCTGAATCAGATTAAGGTTCAATTATTTTAGTGCCTTAAGTAAAATCATACCAAAGGACACTCACAACTTCCACATTCGGGTCCCCACCTTATTCCCCAAAGACTATGTATCTCCTTTCCTAAGGGCCATGGATCTACTTTAATAAGAACAGTAATCTGTTTTGAGAGCTTAAAAAGCAGCTGTGAATTTATTTAGTGATAAAGGCCTTTCCTCCTCATAACCTTGCTATTATTTTAGTGTCTCAGCCATCTTCATTTGGTTGTTTACCAATATATGACATGTGATTTTATTTTTCAGATGGATACAGACATTTACAAGATTGTGGTGAATCGTGTTACAGTTAGAAGTTGGTGAGAAAGGTGAGGGTGGATAGTAAAAAGAGAGAGATTATTCTGCTGGCTGTTCCAGCTCAGCCTCTCTGGGTCTCACATAGGTGAATATAGATCCAGAGTCTGACCCTCAGATTAAGAAATCATTTCTCATTGATGAAACTTGTAAGACTTGGAGTTTTCCCAGGTAGAATGTAAATGTATTGATTTATAGCAATAGGTCTACCTAGGGTAAACAGTAGTAAATAGAACATTTCTTGGTAAACATGGAAAAAGTAAACAAAGGTTGATACCTTGGGATAATATTTCATCTGGGCTGGGGTAAGTTTTGGAGAATTTTTCCTGCTTCATTATTACTCAGAATGCTTATCTGCTAAAGTCTTATCTTTTCTAAGATATTTCTATAAAAATGCCCTGATATTTTACTTCCTGTATCCTTTTCAGGTTCTATGTATAATATTTTCCTTTTGCTATACCAGTTATATTCTTGAACTTAGCATATTGTTTTGGTTTATTATTCCTGGTATATAAAAGTATGAATAGTCTCATCAGTAATATAGTTAGAAATCATCTCTCAGGAGAGGTGTCTTCATCAGATATATGCCAGCTTACTGGTTTCAGAATCAGTTGTCTCCCCATTTGGGGGAGGAAACACACTATTTGAGGCCTGTAGCTTATATTCCTAAAAAGAATATATGTATCATTTGTATCAAAGCCAAGCTTTGGGGCTGGGGATGTGGCTCAAGCGGTAGCGCGCTCGCCTGGCATGCATGCGGCCCGGGTTCGATCCTCAGCACCACATACAAACAAAGGTGTTGTGTCTGCCAAAAACTAAAAAATAAATATTGAAAAATTCTCTCTCTCTCTCTCTCACTAAAAAAAAAAAAAGCCAAGCTTTGAACTTTTATTTTTTTTGCAGTGCTGAGGATCGAATCCAGGGCCTCATATATGCCAGGCAAGCACTCTACCCTGAGTACAACTCCAGCCCTGAACTTTTATTTTTGATGCTTAGATAACATTAATTGGCCAAGATTACCTGTGAAGAGTTAGCAATGAAAAACAAAGTACACACAAACACATTGGAGAAGTTACAACTTTTAATTGCCTGGTTTCTGAAATGATTTATCCTTGTATCTAACCATTAGTACAGTGGGTATAGAGAACACTTTTTAAATATTCAACATCAACATCTGTGCTTGTTTTTCTACTATGCTGAGGTACACTGAATATGTTGCCTTGGTGATGTGAACTAAATATGTATGTTCCCTACCTCCCCTGGGTCTGAGTCCTCAGCTCATCCATTTGTTTTAATCAGGGTTATCACTCTAAATGTACAGGCTTTTTCAGCTTCTCAACATTAGGTCATGCATGGAAGCCGATTCAAAGAGGTTAAACTAGCAGGTATATCAGCCTCTTTAGATACTGTGGTTGAAGGAAACTTGTTTACCCATATCCCCAAGAGTAGGAATACAGGGGAGCCTGTTTTCTCTCAAGCAATGTGTTTCCAGTTCATTTTAAGTTTCAAAATTAATTTTGTGTCAAACCACTTTACCAGCTAGCCATGCCTATGTATTTTAATCACTTTTACTTAGCCAATGTCAATTCAGCTCAGTGGGTATTTATTATCTACTAGATTTTAGGTGATGTGGCACAAAGATGAATAATACACTAGTAGCTGCCCTTAAGAAGCTTCCAGTCTAGTTAGTAAAGAAAATTTAAGCTGGGCACGGTGGCTGGGAGGTTGAGCAAGTTCAAAGCCAGCCTCAGCAATTTAGTAAGGCCCTGAGTAACTTAGGGAGACCCTGTCTAAAAATAAAAAGGGCTGGGGATGTGGCTCAGTGGTTAAGTGCCGCTGGGTTCAATCCCTGTTATCCCCCACCCCCCAAAAAAAAGAAAGAAAGAAAATTCATATTTTAAAAAAATCTGGGTAATGGTGGCAGCCTAACACCAGTATGAAGTCAGTAGGAATTTATAAATGCTTTTACAATTTCCATCATCAAAACTTGCAAATTACACATGAACCAAACACAAAAATAGCCCTTAGGTTGTACTCAATATGAGGCTAAAAAGTCCGCATATTTTGTAGTTGCAACAATTCATTGTTCCAGTTCTGATGGTTGTCCCATTGTCCATTGGAATAGAGGCCTGACCAGTCCTCTCTGGCAGACTGTTGACAGTGGTTTGGTGGCATTCTGTTGGCAGCTGCATTTTTTTCTTTCATTTTCTCTCTTGTCTTTTTGTGTTTTCTGGACCCGAAACAAAAGCAGCTGGGTTTATCCCAGGGATAATTGTGAACATTTCCAATTTGAGGACTTGATATTCCCCAAACAGAAGTTCATATGGCGTTTATCAAACAATGATTACATCCAGCCAAGTTCCCTCTCTCTATACAAATCAGCAACTGTGGATACATTATTTCTAAGTACAGTACTTCAGAAGAAGACATAACAATGGCAATTCACTAAATTTGCTGAGGTATTTCATTATAATTCACTTGTTGTTGTTCATGAAAATATTTATGTAGCAAGTATATATTAATGGAAATGACTGTATGCCCAAACAAAATGTGGTAAATATTTTAACTTTGTTTATCTAGGTTCCTTAATTTTGAGAATATATCTCAAGCTCTTCAAGAAACTCAAAATGATTCCAATATCTAAAGGAGTATCCACTAAAACAGATTTGTAATGAAAGAAAAGCAGTGAAAATGTATGCATCCTATGTCGATATAACCATCACATCTGAGGTCTCAAGCAATCAGAAACTTACTCAAGTTATTCAATAACTATAAGAATTAGGCAGTTAGAATATTTTGGAAGCCCTATAGAACACTTATGTTTGGTATGTTACTAGTCGTCTCAAGGCAGTAAAGATTAGACTAAATATAATTATACTCTTAATATCAGTCTTTAAGCAGCAGTTCCTAAAGAAACCATACCTGTCAACATTGAGACTGATGCATGTAAATGTATTCTATTTTTTGTATGTATTTTATACATTGTATGTATACTTTTAATGGCAGGTAAAATAATGAGTTGAAAGACCAGCGATGGGCTGGGGATGTGGCTCAAGCGGTAGCGCGCTCGCCTGGCATGTGTGCGGCCCGGGTTCGACCCTCAGCACCACATACAAACAAAGATGTTGTGTCTGCCAAAAAAATAAATAAATAAATATTAAAAAAAAATAAAAAAATAAAAAAAAAAAAAAAAAAAGAAAGACCAGCGATAACATCAATTTGTTCAATATTGATTAAAACCAATTAAGTACTAGTAAAGGCCCACAAGGCCATCAGATCAGGGGTGAATGAACAGATTTGAAGCCAGTTTTTAAATCAATGTTGAGATTATAAGGCAGGTTTCTTTGTTTAAGAGGCTAGCCTTTTAGAGAATATAATTTATTCATGGAAAAAAAATAAGAAGGATGAATGGAATTTTTTCTAATAATATCATGTTTACTAAGAATAGGTCATGAGGAGGAAAAGTTAAAGAAAAACTCATTAGTACAATTAATATTTGCCTCTTGAAGTTAAAATTAAAGAATTCCAAATTTTATCCTTGAAGACTTTGAGAAATGAGAGATGCATTAGTAAAGTAGTTTATACTTAAAATCCTAGTTGTAACAAAGAATGGCATGCCTCATTATTAATGTTCAGTTCTAATTAGATGGATTGTTTTGGCAATTTGTGAAATATTCCAAACAGAACTGATGTTTCAAATGACTAAAATTTAGACTTGATTAGAGGAACGAAGTAAAAGATATGTAACCATCAAAAGTAGTTAATTAAAAATTGGGCTGTGGGCATCAGTCT